AGCATGAACTCTAGTCACATAATACTTTCCTTATGTCAAATGCAAAGAAATTTAGAAGTGGATGACACGGGGTGGGTGGCAAAAGTGATTCCAGTCTAATTTCTGTGCTTGTCTCCTCCTTCCTCCTTTGAGCTTTTCCTCCCTTCTCAAATAGTAGTCTAGAAACTGAGCTTACAAACCCACCGAACACATATTTTTTTAGGATTTAGTAGAAGATTTAGAGTCTGAGCTATCAGGACATTTTGAAGAACTGTGTCTGGGATTGATGATGCCGTCCCGATGTTTTGATGCCTATTGTCTCAGACATGCTATGAAGGTTGGTAGTGAAAAGCTATATTTATCAAAGGGATACATCCTTCTAAATGATTTCTTTGCCATTTCATTTACCTGTATCACTTTCCAGAATTTAAATCTGACGTCGTGTACAGATAGTTAATATTCCAATGTTTCTCCAGACTACAATATTACAATATCATGTTTATAATGCCTTTAGTAAATATTTTAGGGCTGAAATGAAATGGAGTTTTACGTCCTAATTTTCTGCACATAATTGGGCTAATGAAGACGGGAAACCCATGCAATGTGCAATGACAGAAATTTTGCCAGGACAGCGGTATTAGCTTACTCTTTTTCGATTTAAATATTTTAGAGAATTGGTACAAAAGAAATAGTTCTAACAGATATCCTGGCCTCCAGATCTAATTGTGAAATACAGGAAATAAAACAGGTCTATAAAAACGGTAAAATTTCTATATTTTTAATTTTGAAATGACCGGAACTTGGTGATGCTCATCTGGCCAAATCTGTCCACCAAGAAAGAATTTGGTTTTAACATTTTTTATATATTGTCTAATATTTGGAATAGGGATTCATAGTCAATATGCCATTTTCCTACCATCTATTGCAACAAAGGGTGAAGGGTCAGTGATAGTCCCACAATCGTTCTGCAACATACCATGGTTTAACATAGCATCACAATATAAGCAGTCAATCACGAGTAACCAGATTGGTAAATACTGGTCCATAAATACAAATGACTAGACGCCTATTTGCCTTTATTTGTAGATCTATACCAGGTGGAACTAGAGGATGATATAAAAAGTGATGTAAGTGGTGACTATTTAAGGGTATTAATTGGGTTACTCCAGGCTAACCGAGATGATACCCAATCTGTTGATGTTACCCTAGTAGATAAAGACGTTCAAGATCTCAAGGAGGTAGATTCTTCTTGTTCTTTCGTTGCTCAAAATATATGTTTAGAAAGTATCCACTGATGACAGGAGATGTATGGAGTTTTATGTGCTACTTTTCTGCACCATGTGGGCTAATGAAGACGGACAACACCATGCAGGGTACAATGAGGGAAATTTTGCTAGGACAACGGCCTGCTCTTTTTCTGTTTCCAATTGTAAAGTGATACTTAACATGCACAATCTTCCAAATGACTATACGTTCACCATAATTTTACGGGGCTTCAGGAACAATAAAAGATTCCTGTATTCGTCTGCAAGTTTATTGAACCCTGATGAAAATGATCCACTTAAGTTTGCACCCCCAATAAAATGTCCGATGATTTCAGGCCGGGATTAATCAAACAGGAACCGATGAAGACACTTTTACCAGGATTTTAGTAAGACGCAGCATTCCCCACCTGAGAGAGGTCTTCGAGAAATATGACAATCTAGAAGGTGCTGTAATATCAGAAACTAGTGGAGATCTTCAGAAAGCTTATCTTTCTATTTGTGAGTTATATTTCTATTATTTGAAGCTCTAAGTCCTAACCGCTTCGAATCTAAGCGAACCTTTTTCTACCATAATACGCCCCAACTTCGAAAACTAAGTGACAGAGAGATCTATCAGGTGGTAAAGGTTATATTTAGACTACTTTCAACAACTCGGAGGTCATTGGTTTGATGGTTTAAAACCTTTTGTTCTAATATTCCCATTCATGAAGATACACCTCGGAGAGCGGCTGTTTTTTCAAAGACGACTAGCAACTGTACTAGTACTAAGGGTCAATATATCTTGGCTACAGAGGCATCTTGTGTAATCTGGTCAATTGCTGGATTCAGTCGAACAGGACGGGTTGACAACAGAAAAATCGCGTTGCGGTCCGTTACTCATATTCTGTTTCTGCAACAAAAGAATCTGGCCAATCTGAGCGATCAAAATCTCCAACCATCAAGTTGTAGTTTAATCCAGCAGTCGGCTGCGGAGGATTCATCGAAATCCAATGAATCAGCCAGACGAGAGGGTCGGGGACAAACTTTAAACAATGATGGTGTTATTTATTCTAGATCGGTACGTGAAGGACCCATTAGAATATTACGCTGGTTGTTTTAGAGAGAGTTTTTCTGGACCGGGAACAGACGATGAACGTTTGATACAACTCGTCGTCTCACATTCAGAGGTAGATAGGCCGACAGTGATAATGAAATGAAATCAATGGACCTTTACGTCCTACTTTCCTGCACCTAATGAAGATGGGCAATTTGATGCAGTGTACAATGAGGGACATTTTGCTAGGACAGCGGCATTAGCCTCCTCTTTTTCTATTACCTTATGGCGAGGGATCTTAAAGCACAGCCTGTAGCATACCTGACCTCAGTTTATTGTTCCGTCAGAACGACTAGACGCTTTTCCGCGTCAAAACTGCGATCTGCGTCTGTCTGTGATATTATTCATTTTCGTATATTTCGTGGATCCAGATCATTTAGATTGGTACATTATTTCATCTGTTGGTCAGTTACTTTTTCATAGTGACAAGGCGTGTGTAATTCACTACAGACACGTTTTTTTTTTATTCCAGATAGATTTAAAAGATATCAGCCTGGTCTACCAAAGAATTTATAAACAGAGTTTAACCGAGGCTATACAGGACGAGTGTCGGGGCGATTACGGGAAACTCATCCTCAAAATAGTCACCCCTGGTGATGATGCTTGCACCCCAGAGAGCTAATGCGTTATTTTACAATTCTGTTGGTAGGTGACAAGTTAACATCTCCACTTCGAGTAGCTGACAAATGTTACCATTATGTTGAGTTTTTGTTATATTTTTCACTCTTTAATTCTGCTGATGCAGTGAACATACATTTTCAAACAAAAAGTTCATAAAAAATAGGAATTTCGCCAGAACAACATATATATGAATTTTTGTAATATTTGGTAATAAATCAACAAACGTCTTATATTTAATATTTGTTAACCGTTGGCCTTATGTTCAACTTTAGTTTACAACTAAGGGGGCAGAGGGGGCAAATGTGCTCTTAAAGTTCTTGTTGATCTCATAAACCTGTTTGAAATTTACTGTAGAAAATCTAATTGACTGGATCTCATTTCTTGTTATAATCTCGTTCCTTTATTAATTTATAAAATACTGAATTGTTATGAAGGTTAAGAAATAAAGTTATATAAATACAAATAATTTTATTCAACAGTAGCTTTAGAGTTATCAAATGACAAATTGTAATCCAAAGTTATTCTGTAACAAATTGAAGTGTCCTGATTTTGTGGATGAAAAAGTTTGTAACAGGGTGTCATGATGTAAAATACATTTTGTTATCACAATATACATGATTGAAGTCACAGCTTCCTGTTTTACAATTTGAGATTAACAAGAGTTATTCCCCTTACATTAGATTCAACAGTAGCCATGGTGACTAAAAATCAGAAATAAAGGTACATTCAGGACTGTAACTTAGGTCTTTTTTCTATAAAATCCTGTTGCTTTTTTAAGTCAGTTTTGTCTTGTAATCATAACGCTTTCAGTGGAATTCAAACATTTACCACATTTACTGTAGACATAAAATAATTCTATATATTTAGTGAATATCATAATTACATTTTCAATTTTTAAATGAATTTTATTGTTTGTTAAATTCTACATGAGGCATTTGCCTTGATATAGTTACCGCCCTGACATCAGGTGATGAAAAAGCTTCTGATATGAATACATTAATATTTATACACCCACGCCACCTCAAACAGTAAAAATCCACCAATAATCTCATTGTTCAAAACAAGGCACTAACACAGGTTTATAGTTGTGTTCACTAATTATAGAGGTCAAGGTGGTTTAAAACTAAATATATAAACATAAAACTAATATTTCTATAATAGATGTGCTAGACTTAAAAAATACTTGATTTCTCATTAACAAAAAAGTTTAAATGCCTTTTTGACTTTCAAATAAAAAATGGCTCTTTACTTCAAAAAGAAAAGAAAAGAAAAGAAAGTGAAAGTGAAAGTGAAAGTGAAAGGAAAATAAAAGAAATAAAATGCCCAGTATTTTCTAGACATTGCATTATTTAGGCACTCCATTCTTAAGAAAATATTCTTTTAATATATTCATAGCTTTACCACGGTGAGAAAGTGTATGTTTCAGATCTATGTCCATTTCAGCGAATGTTTGTTCGTGTCCGTATGGTTGAAAACAGGGGATCCCATCCAAAATCTTTGGGGCCCCTGGGTTGGACTATAGTTCCGTCACACTGCCCTTGAAATATTTCTATTGGTGCCCCTTCCTGTCCGCTAGAATACGCGTAGATA